TATATATATATCTTGGCCTCCACTGCTGTCAGGTTGCAGCTGTTAACCATCTTCCATCACTGAGCTCTTCAGATCATGCTTTGTCCCTGGACTTTACTGCCATACCAGGTATGGAGGACTGAAACTGACACAATTTAAAGCAGAAATATATACATAAATGACCCAGTTGATAAATAGATTGTGCATGATTGTGTTGCTTCAGTTTAGCAACTAGTGACGAGAACAGTAGTTCATTTTAGTGAACCGTGTCGTTCGAGTCAGTTCATTTGATTTGTGGCTTTTATTACCATGTGTTGTTACTACATTTTAGTGTTTTTCCTGCATAATCTATCTGCCCAAGGATCCTGCTCCTTTCTTTCTGTTGACCAATAGTAGAGGAGCTGACACAAATGCGCTATGAGATCTTACATAATGAGACAGAAATGCATAAGACAGAGCAATGTATAAAGAACACATGGAAATAAAAAAATACAAAAACAATAAATTAAAAACTTTAAGACCAAAATGCATGTACAAGTAAAAGGAAAAACAATAAATTCATATTTTTTAAAACAGTACAATTTAAATTATGTGCTACAATATATAATTTGTTGGAASTAAGCTGGAAAAAATAAATATGGTCACCAATACACACACATAAAATATAAAACTCATTCCAACTGCAGTGTATTTACATGATCATTATGTTTTTTTCAGCAAATGCCGCTCATCACAGCTGGAATGAAGTCTCTGACTGCAGAGTGAATTTTGTGGCTGTACAGTTATTTTTTAACCCACAATAAGACCTCCTAGTTTGTGCCGAGGATTCTCATGTCTGCTTCATACTAACTCCACACCCTAACACAGGAGGGACAAATACAGAAAGTTTTGACAACTTCTAAGTAAATCCAGACTCCTCTTCTGATCACGTCTCTTTTTTTAGTCAGGTKTGCCTGCATCAGACTCTAGTGGATAAATCTTTTATGATTGTGTTTATTGTCTTTGATAAGTTTAGTTTTAGATTGCAGCTTCTTTCATGTTTTAAAGCCTTTCCCTCAGACAGCTCCCATGTTCAAACACTGCTAAGACCAAAGTCTACTATCTTAAAACAGCTCTAATCTGAAAAGCTTCATGTCTATTTGTGTGAGTGCTGTTTTATAAACCTTGACATGCACATGATGCCTTGTTTATAGGGAAACTGCAGCATCCCTCTTGAAGCCAGGTCTTTGGGAGCACTCAGCGGTGAGCACCTGTTGGTCCAGCCTTTGCTCTTGGGACTACCTTCTATGTTTTCTTGTCAGTGTTCTTTTGTCATCAACAATAAATATTATCCATTAGAGATACAGAATATATTGATGTTTAATGATGTCGGTGACAGTAAAATGTAAGACATGCTAATTCGATCTTACTGAATACTCTAACAGTGTGCTCATTGTGTGCAGCATTGGGGGAACACTTGATCTAAATGGTTTTAAGCTCTGAAAGAGCTTCTTGCAGTTTTTTCCTGCTTACATCACTATCAGTTCAAGTGGTCAGAAAGAAAAAAGGGCTCTTTGTTCATGTGACAAACTATCATTTCCATGGAATCACAACAAGTGTTGAACTACACAGGGTTGTATCATGTACTTTATTTTCTTGTTCTGTAGCAGGAACCACTTTCAATCATGCACATACAAAACTACTTAAAGGGACATTGCAGCCATTTGAATAATAGTTTTGTGGAAAGGGTAAATATTTTACTGGATAGAACTTGAATATGAGAAGGTAGAGTTCAGTTTTAGAAGTATATATATATATATATATATATATATATATATGTGTGTGTGTGTGTGTGTGTGTGTGTGTGTGTTGTTTCTGTTACAGAGTGAGGACCACTTGCAAAATAGTTACTTTCAAAGTGAGGTCTTTGATGTAAAGTGAGGACCTTGTCCCGGTCCTCACTGTTTTGCAGCTTCACTGCGGGCAGGTATTCCCTGCTTTGTGGGATGTTTTTTTTGGCAGACACACCTACTTGTGGGGACCTAAGTCTAGTCAGTGCCAGGTCCCCATAAAGATAGCTGCACTAGACCGCGCGGGCGTGTGCACTGTACATCTGTCGAGAACATAAAAGAATACACCACCGATATGCAATAGGATGAGTAACAAAAAAACAACCAAGCACTGGGTGGTTTGTTTTGGTTCTGTTCACCTCTCTGAACATGAAGCACAGAAACCAAAAATCTGTCTGAGGAGCTCAGAGAGAAGGTTATAGAGAAACTACAAGACTGTCTCCAAGCAGGTTCATGGTCCTCTGACCACAGCTGACAAGATTATAAGTAGAAGGTTCATGGGTCTGTGGCCAATAGGAGGTGGACGCAAGAGGAAATGCAACCCCAGGCTTATCAGGCAGATAGTGTGGATGGTAGAAAAAGATCTGAGGAAACCATCTAATTCAGGAGTGTCAAACTCCAGTCCTCGAGGGCCGCTATCCTGCATGTTTTAGGTTTTCCTGCTCCAACACACCCGACTTTGATCACTGGGTGATTAACAGGCTTCTGCCCAATTTGAAGAGTTAATTCAATCACTGAATCAGGTGGATTGGAGCTGGAAAACCTCTAAAACATGCAGGATAGTGGCCTTCGTGTTGTTTCAGATTTACTAACCTCATGAGATATTAATTGACATGACATTTATAACAGCCTAGTTTTACTGAAGATCATTTTATACAGTATGCTTGCAATCAAAGAAGCAGTGTTGTCATGTTATTTTTTCTAACTGGCATATTCTAATTTGTCATAAAAACACAAGACAAGAAAGTTAAAGTGAGAGAATCATTAGAGAGAACTAGAGGTGTTTATTTCTTTTTATTTCATTTGTCAAGATTAAACTTCAGTGCAACATGAGTTCAGCACTGATGGTAAATGATCCACACTAACTGTACAAAGTGCTTTTTAACCTCTGCAGTTTCTGAAAAGCACTGAACAGATTTTCTCTTTCACCAGTTTCTTTCTGTTCTACATTTTTAAACACAACACTTTTACCAGATTTTCACAGATCAGCCTGCTGCAGGGGCTGGGTATCTAACCCACAACCTTTTAGGGCTGTGTATTGGCAAGAATTTGGTGATACGATACATTTCATGACAGAGGGGTCACGATACGATATATCCCGATATATTGCGATACTATAAGCAAGATGATATATTGCAATACTGTATATTGCGATTTTTTTTTGTCCAAAAATTCTATTAAATAAAAACCTCTTACAGGGGAAAAAAAAAGAAAAACCAAAATTCATTGTCTCAGAAAATTCTAATATTACATAGACATACTTTTGATACATTTAGCTGTGTTCTGCTTTGTATGTATTNCTGCTTTTCCTTTCCAGGGAACTTAACTTTCAAAATGTCTGAACTCCTTTAAGTTTCACATGCAAACCATAAAACCTGCTGAGAGCAAGACACAAGCATGGTCCAGCAATAAAAAAAAGAGTTAAATTAAAGCCAGAAACTTCAACTACAGGTTTAATTAGAATTTTAAGAATTTGACACTAATTTATCAAAATGTGGATTTTCTTCAGACAAATCTAGACAGAGTTCAAGCTCATTTGAAGTCAGATGCAATCAACACAACTGCTGATTTTTCAAGTTTAACTGCATCCTCCTGGACTCTCAGTAATCTTTCTAGTATATTGAGAAACAGCTAATATTTGCACTCCAAATTTAGTGAGAATGGGTCACAACTCCCAGAATTTTGAGGTCCACAACTTAAAGCATCCTCATGACGACCAGTGGGCAAACTTGGCCATCAGCACAGAGTCTGGATGTGTTTACATTTTAACAGGATGTGGCAGATTGAGGATTGCAGCTTTTAGAAATTTGGGAAGCAATTACAGGCGACTGGTAGCAGATGTTCGTGTGAAACCAGCCGCACATTTGTAGCTGTGGGGTTTTAGCATCCCGAGGTCTACACAGAGAGAGGGGGTCTAGTGATGCGTCGGCATCCATTTTTAAAGCACAATAAGCACAGAAACGTTAAGAACAGGCAGCTATAGTTTCAGCCTTTAGACCTGAGTCTGAATGTACAGTTTGTATGAACAAACACAAAATAATAACTACACTTAATTAATGTTGGGTTGCTAAGTTAAAAGAAAGCTACACTACATCAAACAAAATGAATAAGAAAGAAAAAAAGAACAAAAACTCATAAATAAAAGCTATGGCATGTTTCAATGGCATCATATTCAAGTAATCTTGTCCCTGATAGTGGTTCATGTAAACATTGGGAGGCATTAACACAGACACAGAACCAGCTTCTTTTTTTTCTTTTTTTTTAAAGGCAGCAGCAATTTGCATTTACACACAACCAACGTCTACGTCTCTTTCACCGTGCTGGTCCAATCACATCGGTTGGTGATTAACTCTTTGAGTGTTGCTGATGAAATTCAAACTTTAGTATGAAGAGCGTGTAGGAGAAGCAGGTGGTGTTTTTACCTGTTTGTGTGAACGCGCTCCCAAAAGGCTCGACTTTGGGGACAAAGAGACGAGGAGAAAAACTCAGCTGAAAACTGCAGGCCGGTGTGTGAGCCGTGGACGTCGCCTGCTGTGAGCAAAACAATGAATTCTCCGTCTCCTCTGAGGTCCTGTGTTGGGAGGAATGTCCAGAGGAGCCTTTCTGCTCATCACATCAAATATTTGCTGATGTACACAGCCTCTTTGTGCTCCTCGATTTAAGCACCTTTTTTAGTCAAACGATGGCTTACGCTAAGAAAACAGAAACAACCCAGTTTCCTATGAGATGTGTTACATTTTTGGGATCGGAATCGAAGAGAAAAGAACATCAAGCAGCAAAATACGCTCAAGACAGAAACTTTGTTCTGTGCACTTCTAGAATTGGCTCAGCTATCACACACAGCTGAGAACAGGCACTGAATGAGGTGGGTGTACGATGGCGCTGCTGCTTTCATCTCATTCACAGTGATGACAGTCTCATAATAACAGTTTGTTTATAGTCAGTTCAGTATACAGCAGGGAAAGTGTCTGTGGTGCCTCAGAGTTGAATATGAGGCAGTTGAGCATTTGTCACGTCAGTGTGATGACTTCCACTTGGTCTGTTCTGCCTTTGGACCTCTGCTTACGTTTGAGGCGTCTCTGTGAGAGGGGCMGGGGAGCCGGGCGAGTGGAGGGTGTTGCGGTGCCGACGGAGAGGGAGAATAGGTCTGCGAGTGGATCTTTCTGGGTGGGAATCAGCGACGTAGACTCCCGGGGGGGTTTGAGCTCCCTCTCCGTCTCCTGGCGTCACCTGTCGAAGCAACCGGCCGTGAACGTGTGATGCGCGCCCAGGTAGCCCCCGCTGTAGGCCATGCTCAGGCAGTGCCGCGGTTCACCGGCGAGGGCCATCTGCACGGAGATGGGGCCCTGCAGAGGCAGAGCGCGGGCTCCTGGCTGAAGACCTGAGGTTAGACTCGAGTAAGACGGGAACGCTCCTCCGGGAGTGACGGGGGGAGCCCCAGCTAGAAGACCCATCCGGTGGCTCTGAAGGAAGTCCTGAGACATGTTGACTACTGGGCCCAATGCCTGGGAGTCGGCCAGTGCTTGCAGCTGAGACAGGGACGGGGAGTGCTGGGAAAGGTGTGGGAAAGTGTCGGGCTGAAAGAGTAGCTGTGGAGTGGAGGAGCTGGAGGAGGCTGGTCTCTGGATGGCTGACACCYGAGAGAGGTGAGAAGTCTGGGGCTGGGACTGCAGCGAGGAGGGCCGGTGGGGAGGGGTGGATTTGCTTTTATTGGCTTCTTTCACATCGTTGTCATGAGCTCTGTCATTAACACAACAAAGAGCATAAAATGAGTGAGCTATAACTACTTTCTGCTGGGCAACAACTATATATATACAGTATATATATATATATATATAAATTGCTAATTTGTGTAATTGTTTCCATATCAGATTAATAGTGTGTAAACTGGATGGGTTAGTGCTGAGAAGTTAATGGATTCTTTAGCAGTTGTTTTAAACTATGATTTAAACACACACACACACACACACACACACACACTTTTTTCTCACAGTGCATTGTGTTCTTCATCCTGATTGGCTAAACAGTCTCTGTGGTTCCTCTCTACCTGTGTGCCAATAACGTTACGGTATTCAAATATACATAATACAGCTTTGCAAATTTCATTCGTTCATTATAGTTCTCAAATATAATCGATGGTGGCATGTCAGTTTATACATACATACATGTGAAGTTGTACGTATTGTCCGTAAGTTATAAGGATTTTACGTCATTTTGCAGGTATACGGAGGTATAGAGCAATCTTACGGATTTTGCCAAGCCTTACAGATTTTTTTCAAAACCTCATTTTAAAATTTATTAACACGTCAGAGCCTGATGATTTAAATAAATAACACCAAATAACCGTCTTCCAACCTGTCCTGCTGCTAGAAATAAGTTCTGGACTTTTTCCCCTCCTTTCCTCCTGCTTTGCAGCAGGCACTGTCGGGTCCTCAGCCGACAGACACTGCACCCCCCACCCCCAACCCCACCCCGGGTGCGAGATGTACAGTAACTACAGTGGTTTGCAAAAGTATTCATAC